TTTTGAGTCAGCGTGTCCCTGTAGCTCCAGCTGGCCTAGAACTCACTATGTAGATCAGGCTGGTCTTGAACTCACAGAGATCAGCCTGCCTCTGCCTCTGCCTCCCAAGTCCACTGATTCTTAAAGTCACTGTACTTCTGGGGCTGGAGAGATGACTCAGAGGTTAAGAGCACTGATTGCTCTTGCAGAGGACCCAGTTTCAATTCCTAGTATCCACATGGCCAACTAACAACCATCTGTAACTCCAGTTCTGGGGGAATCTCATGCCTTCTTCTGACCTCCTCAGGCATTGCATGACATGGGTGCACTTACACACATGCAGGGCATACACTCATACACATAAAATAAAAAGAAATAAAAAAGATTTTAAAGTCACTGTACTTCATAAATTAAAAGTAAATTAAAGTAAATTAAAATTACTTTCATTTCACAAAGACTAGTATGTTTTGAAGCATGGACATATGTTTGGAAAAAGGACATACAGACTTAAGCATTTCAAGCACCTGTTGCCTTCAAACAGCTCAGTCACTAGTTGTGGAAGGGCTGGCCCGTGACTAGACCCTGTGGTGTTTCGGGTTTCTGTGAAGCAGCATTCTTTCACCATATGGTTTGCAGAAAGAGGATTAATGTACTCAAGAAAGGAGAATCCAGCACTGAAAAGAATGTAAATGGGGATCTTATTTAAGTGTAAAATAATACACCAGCAGAGCGGGAAGATCGAGTTAGTGAGCAAACATGGACATATGTTTATTATTGTGTTGGATAAAGTCTCTGTTTCTCCTAATCAAAATTAGTCCTTTTTTCTTACTTTAGTACACAGTCACTTTAATTTATTGCCCAGTAAATATTAACTATAAACAAATTATCTTCGTGGTATGAAAATTGAAAACACAGGGACTAGACTGAACATTCAGTGCCACTTTACTATTAATTCCTTAGACTATTGGGAAAATTTAACTTTTTTTTTTTTGCTTCTTTGACTGCCATATTACATTTTGCCTTGAAGCCATCCATTCTGCAGATATTGAATTTCTTTTGAGTGCTATTTTTATACAGTAAGCATCACTACACCTCTGGATCTTGATAGCATTACTGCAGGAGGAGAAAGCAGCCTTGTGTTAGTAATTACCTAACATTGTCAGAAGCTGACTGCAGGCCTCTTTCTAGCGATAACAGAATAACCACATAATGTAGCTTTATAGCACATGATTAATAGAAAATAATTACATGTCCTACAAAGGGATGCAATATTTCTTATAAATTGACTAGAATGGTTTCCTGTAGATTAAAGGACTCTTCATTATTTTATCAGTCCTCCTGAAGTACAGTCACTTGCCAATGTTAGCATTTCAGTTGATGTTAAGAGTGAATGGGGTGAAGGATACCAGATGGCGGACCTGCTCGTACCTGAGAGCTCGGGTGCCAGAAAGATTATGCGATGCTTCCTAACCTGTCAAGATTTAAATGACAGTCTGGTATTCTCTGTCTCTCTGTCTCTCTGTCTCTCTCCCCCCTCCCTCTCTGTCACTTACTCTCTCTCATTTTTATTTATTAATAAGATAAGGTTTGAGAGTTTCTTTTAATGATCCACCTGTGACTTTATAGAACAATGCTGTAATTAGCTGGTGGACCATAAGACAACACCGTATCGATCGCATCATTTTTCACTGTAAGTAATCTATCATTCATAATCACATTTGTTACCGGGCAGCAAAGAGGAAAGGCAAAGATAGACTGGTTTTCTTCTTCAGAAGGAAACCTTGTGATACTGAATCTTGAGGCTGAAGTTTACAAACCTGTACTCCAAGAAGATTTTCATCCCAATTTATAGGCTCAGATGGTTTAATTGGGATTCATGTTGCTCAGGAGGCTCATCCAGAAGGTGGTGGTGTTGGTAAAGGAGAGCTCCGGTGTGCAGTCTTCTCAATACACCCTGATGGCTAACTGTGCAGCTCCCTAAATTTGCTTTCTGGATGTTTGTCTCCCTATATTTCATCTTATCTCTTAATTTCATGAGGAAGTATTAATGTGAATAATAGGAATATCAAGAAATATTCAGATTTTTATTTCTGTTCTTTTCTGAATTAGAGCTGTGATATTTTAGAGCATTTCATGAGATGTGTATTTTGTACATCTTACAGTTATTTTAAATTAAGTGAAGCATTTAAGATTATTTTAATATGACACTTTTTTCTTTCTCCTTGGAATATGAGGGATTTGTCTACAGCTGAATAAGCTCCTCCTGCTGTTTGCTGCTGTGATTTCGAGTTAATTAACCCTTATTGCTCTGCCATACATAGTACAGAATTTTCCCGAGTGTGAGGTCTGTTGTCTGCCCTTCGTTAATGAAATCTTAAATTTGAGGGTTTGTGGTCTTTTTAAGAATAATAAGAGTCTCTTAGTTGACAGTACAGATTTTAACCATAGTACAATATTGTAAGGTCCTTTGAACTTTTCTGTCCTGTATTTTGAATCTGAACGTTTTCTTCTAGGCAGAGGGCTGTTCCCTGGAGGCAGGTTTGGGTCAGTGGTCTGCCCTCTCACTGAGTGTTTTCTGTGTCTACTGTCGGCAGGCTCGATCCTTTGCTCTTCCAGTGTGGTCCGTTTGAAAAATCTAAGACTTCTACACTCAGACTTACCCTGTTAATCCATTTTGATATCTTACAATGTAGACCTTTGGTCTCTGGAAACCTAAGTCCATTGGTTTTTGTTAAGCATTAAGCTCCAATTGTATTCATTGCCTTAAAGATTGAAAAGGGCAGTTTTATTAGGTGACTATTAGGGCATAATGGTTGCTAATCTAGCTTTTAGGAAGTTGGTATTTTCATATGATAAATATGTCCTATGTACATTATACACATCATCATTGCCTTCTGGACCCAGAACATTCTCATTGGTTAAATAGTTTTGTCTGTTAAGGTTATACTGTCGGTGAACTTTTAAACTTCACATCTGTAGTCCAGCGCCCTTATTGGAACAAGAAGTATGGGGTTAGCCTCCCCCGACTTCCTTGTGCTTCGTTCTCCCAATAAACCTAATTCTGATACTGCCCACCTCCTAAAAAGCACCCGTAGATTTTATCCTTTAATCTATTGATAGACTGTATATCAATGCATGCATGCTAATGTTGGTACATTTGTGTTGAAGAATAATATAATTTTCCTTGTGATGATCAATAGCATACTAATCAATACCAATGTTAAGCCTGCACTCCTATCAACCCTCCCTCCTCACATATAACTCAATATGCATATGTGCATTTATCTATGACTCAGATGTTGGAAAATCATAACCTATTGAATTACTTTTGGGATTGATTTTAAAAATTTATCTTATATGAAAAATTAAATTTGGGTCTTATGCTTGTGCAGAGTATTGCTTTTGGAAGATATTATTCTTGAAGCTTGTAATTTATTTTACTTTGTTTGTATCTCACTAAACATAAATAAATTTGTGATAAAAATACATTAGTCAATCTGGCAGACATATGAGGCCAGTCATGGAGTGCTCACAATGCCTAAAGCAGAAGCGTGTCTGTCAGTGGGGGATAAAGGAAAGAAGAGGCCTAGGTTTGTTTATCTCACATTGCAAAGTAAATGCAGAAGTGTACCATCAATCACTCTTTTCACAGCTAGATTAATATTTTGCCATTAGAACCTGAGATACTTTTATTTCCTATTGATCTTCCACTCTGTGAGCAAATCCAACATCACTTTTAGATCCTTGCCACCTCTCCTTTGTGTTAGGTAGTGTAAGGTCAGCAAAAGGAACAGCAAATGCCTCTGGGACACTATTTTAAAGGCACTCATTTGTGAATTATTTTGTATTGGTATTTGTGTATTTTTAATTTGTCTTGGTACTGTTCTTATTCTCCACTTTATCAGCTTAAAATGTGTGTATTGGGTTTTCTTAAATGGAGTATACCCCTAATCCACAGTCATTTTATGACATCTAAGTTTAAGTAGGGATTAAGAATTTATTGGGAAAAAAAAAAAAAAGATTTTATCCTTGTTAGAGAATAAGCTTCTTGAAGGTAAATGTAGCCTGTCTGGATTGCTGGCTATAACCTTCCTTCTGCGTGGGTGCTGGTACACAGGGGTTTTCCACGGTGGAGAGACAGGAGAGGAGGAGACCCACAAACTTGCCTACTTCTGGCTTCACTCTCCATGTTCTTACCATGAGTGACTATGCTGCAATCTCCTCTGCATAATAAATGGGCTTTGTGTTACACAGTAATTTAAATATTTTCTGAACAGCATTATTTGTTTGTCCAGAAACAAACAAAAAAAGATGAAAATGTTTCCATTTGCAGATCAAGCACTTGTAACTTTATAAAAAGAAATAACATTTCTAGGAAGTTACATACAAACAACATTGTACTTACACCAGTCTAAAGGTTAATATTGTATATTGTTTTCAATTAGGAATACAATAGATATGGCTGGTGGGTAGGAGAAATGAAGGGAGCCATTGGCTTGGTGCCTAAAGCCTACATAATGGAGATGTATGATATTTGAGAGTCTGGGTAAGTACATTTTAATCCAATATTCTGTAATAGCTCCTGTGTTCTCTTGGTCTCTTCCTTCGAAGTCTTTGCCTTTTTTAAGTCTTTGTATTGTTTGATTACACTGGGATGGTGCCCCAAATCTGGTTTTGTTTTGTTTTTCTTGAGCTTTAGTTTTTAAAATAACTTCATAAAATTTACTTTGGAAATGAATAGATTATTTTGGAGAAAGTTCCTTTGATAATAACCAGCTGTTTTCTCAAACCTCTTTGGTAGTAAAATGCCACTTTCTTGGCCTTCCTAAGGAGCTGAATTGAAAAATGTTTGAATAAACTGTCTTTTTTGTTTGACTAAAAATGTTATTTTCTTTCTAACTAGGAAAGAAAACAAAGCAACATTTCTACTGAAGAAAATGTAAAATAAAATGCAACTTTCCTGTTCTGCCCACAGGGAAGAGGTCTCCTGCCTGCCTTCAAGTGCTCTACATTTTTAGAAGCTGCCGGAGAGCCTTCCAGCTCTCGGTGTTGATTTTCAGCTGCCTATGTACTTTAAACGTTCCTGTCTTCAACTGTTATTTTATATAGTAATTCATTAAAATATTTCTAATGTGAAATTATATGAATAGTGACTAAGTTAGATGTAAGCAGTGAAGTTATACCTGTTGCTGTTTTGTAAAGAAATCATTTGTTTTAATTCACCCATTTGGTTTGTGTGGAAAAATCCATTTTTCTTCTATGCAAATCATGTGGTCACTGCAGCTGCTGGTGTGAGTTGTCTTGCCTCTTGGGCATTGAGCATCAGTTATTTTGTAGAGTGTTACACATAATTTTGTAGACTTTTTAATGAAATATATCCTGTAAGTTTTCAGTTAATGCTAAAGGATGTGTTTCTTTAAAGTTGTGTAATGTACTTGCCTTAATACTGTTTTTCATACAGTTGTAACGTGTTTTCATGAAAGAAGTTTTGCAGATTGGCAAATTTACCTCTTGTTTAAAATTGAAAAAAAAAAAAAAAGATAAAATTACAAGTTAGGGGAAAGTGGCAGTGTGGTGCTATCACCTGGCATATAAGAACAAGCCAGAACTAGATTTGTGCAAAGCACGTAGCGAAGAACAAATAGCCTAGTTTGATGATGGACTTTCCATGGTTTTCTACCATAGTTTTCTTTAAGTTTAATGAAATCATGGATTCATAAGAAACCCCATTCTACCACGAATACAGCGATAGGAACAGTCTCAACATGCTCTCGCCCCAGGTACCCTCTGATCTTGCCTTGTCATCGCTGTGCTGTTACATCCTGCTGTAAAACAGTAGCACTCCAGATCTGAGTCTGCTTTATACTTCTCAGGGCGCTGAAAACTAAACAAGGCTCAAAGTGGCTATAGTTACCAACCAGTGAATGGAAAAGTAGCACTCACCAGGCATCTGAGTTGCATATCTGATACTGCTCATAAAGTTTGCAGAATCCTCTCATTACCTTCCATGTATATCTGAAGTAAGAGGTACTAAACTGTCCATAAGGGATGATGATAACAGCCTTACTATGTATGGAATGTATTAGTGGCTGGAGAATTTTTGGAGTAGACATAATATACTAATGTTGAATCCTTTTTATTAGGTACTATCCTTTATTTAACTTTTCGGGCCTTTAACTTATAAAGGTAGGGATGAAATGAGCTGACAATATTTTAAAAGCCTCTATTATTTTTGAAAAAACTATTTACAAACAATGTTAAAGAATGCTCATTTCACCAGTGTCCTATAAATGTCATGATCACTGTTTCAAATGTAAAAGAAAAAAAAATCTTAATTTAGGTATTGTGAGTAAAATCGGGTTTACATATATAGACACAGTCAAGCTAAAGTTTTCAGACATTTCCTTTGCTCAATTTCCCTTTTCCTATTATGGTGTCATTAAAGTAGTTTGAAATTATTGTGGCACAAGTTAGACAACCAGAGATGAACTTGGACTGGCTCTCAAATCCAGCTGTTTCCACTGTCCTGTGCCTTTGACTCAGGCGGCCAGTAGATGGCAGCAGCTCGTCATCAGGTGGAACCATTTGGGAACCCCTCCCCCACTCAAGCCCATTGTGAAGTGGTTAGGAGGTTCCTGCCTCCTTTTACAGTGAATCCAGGAGAGGGAGTCCTTTGCCAACTGATGACCAACATTTCCAATGCAGATAGGTCCTGGGAATGGTGGCAACACAGAAATATGGTATTACTCCTGTCCAGAGTGCCTCTGGCCTTTGTTCTTTTTCTACTTGAATACAGCTGGGAGGTAGGAGGAAGGAACCAAAGGACTTTAAAATTGGGAGAGACAAGAAAAATTGCCACTACTTGCAATTCATGGGTACTTAGTATTCACTTGATCAAATTATTTGTGTACTGTGAGAGCGAAAGTTTTCTTTCTACCCTTGGCAATATATCACACACTCTTCAAGATCATAATAACGTCATTAATGTGAATTTAAACAACGTGGCTTGTTAGAAAATATGCTAATTGTTATGTTCTCATTATGTTTGCTTAGCTTTTATTTGTTTTTCTATGAACAGTTGAGAGCTAATTTCTTTGAAAGGTGATTGTAAGTCATATTTTATATAGCATTTTGCCTGATTATTTGCTCTGTACTGAATTTGTACTCTATTGCCATTAGATCTTACAATAATGTTCCACTCTGCAAATTTTTAAGGTTCAAATAAAGTTTAATTGTTTGCAAACTGTTATGATGCTAATAATTCAACAGCCTGCTGTGTTACTAATGAAATTACTTTGTTATGATTAATTTGGAAAATAGTGTGTTGATTGTAGTAATTAAGCACAACAAGGTGAAGTAAATGATTCTAATGCCATCTGGCCTCCAAACTGAATGAAGAAATGAAATAGGGCTGTCATTGGAATTTATTCAAAGAAGTAAGGATAATACAAACGACTTTCATTGCTGTCAGGTTTACACTTAACCACAGCTCGTTCCATTCTGCTTTCTCCACTTTGCTGTGTGTGACATGTTCGTTTATGAGAAGAGTGTTGGTTATTCCAGCAGTTGTTCTCAATACTTTGTTTTCAGCTGATTATTTTTTTGTAATTTAATTACAGATAATTACATACAATATATAGGCTCATAGCAAAATAAATTTTTTTAAATCACTTTTCAACCAGCCATAGGTAATATCTATACATGCAGGCCTTTTAAAAATATGGAAGTCTGTGTATAAACACCTTGAATCTGGCCTTTCTCAAAGAGTAAGCTCAGTGTTTGCTAAAATGTTCATGTACAAAGCTTTCTGGTGGTTCTTGTGACGTCTGGTTTTCCTGTAACTTCTTGAGTGTCATTTCATTGACTCCGATACCATCTATGGTCATGATATAAAAACAGAGCTGACTTACAGATTATAGATTCTGATTTGTGGTTCAACCATGAGAAGAAACTGACCTTCTTATACATGTAGTTTAAAAACTTGAACTATCGGGGAGACTGAGCTGAAGCATTGTGAGAATTTCTAAATCAACTAAAGTTCTTCCAGATTGCAGAGTAGTCAGTTGTCGGGTAAATGACAGAGTACCATATAGAGATTGCTTTTCTTTTCTTGAATTCAGTATATTCAAGAATATTAAAAAGCAGACCACAAGGCAAGGAAGAAATGATGAGATAAAAACATGATCAAGCCTTGCGAAGCACAGCTGCACTCCGAGATTAGAGGGCCATGTGTACACACACCATAAAAACTTGTTAAACATGCCTGGTCTGTCACTAAAATCTGGAGTATTTAAATGTATAGAAAAGCAAATCCTAAATTGTTTGAGTTTCCTCTTACAATTGTAACCTATACTCAGATGCATAACAATTTGCCCTCTAGTTGGGGAAAGGTTTGTCTAGACACCCTGAGCTTTAAGCTCAAGTTATCATGCACCTGCCACCTTAGAGTTGACTGCTTCCAGAATATCTTAAAATCCCTGATAGTTTAGAATGTTTCTATGGTGAACTAAATACTAGTAAGTGATGTGGTCACAGTAATGTGGAACGGCATTGCATTCATGCTATGTTTGAGAGGCTTTCCCTTGTTCTCACTAGTAGATGCTCCTCTTCTACTGCTTAGACACAATCACAAGAATTCATCCCAGCATGGTACAAAGCATATAGTGCATATTCAGTAGTATCTGTTAACTGGTTTGACACCCCATAGTGACTCAACATCTAAGATATAAGAAAGAGTTTGACCTCTATTCCTAGTAAAGAAAATGTCTTTATGTGATTGCTACATCTGCTTTCTAAGTCCCTTTTGCTGAGGCTTTAGCAGCAGGTCCCCTAACAACATCAGCAAAGGTGCTGGATTTGTTAGTAGCCAAGTGGAATAGGAGTATGGGTGACTATAAAGTCAAACTGTGGCACAGACTTAGCTGTTTGTTCAAAGGTGTGACTTTCAAATGAAAGGCACAGATGACCCAGGCATCTTGGAACATGGCATCTAGCTCCTCTTTCCAGAACATTCCAAGCTACCACTGCCTTCATCCCCCTTGGGAAATGTTAGAAGAGGCTCTGTCATACCTTGTACCTTGGAGCAAGCATTCTAACTGGTCGCCTAGGGTAGATCCGAAAGGACTTCTGAGTCACGTGTGCTGATGTATGCCAGCAATCCCAGCACTTGGGATTTAGAGGCAAGAGGATATCAAGAGTTCCAGGCAAGTCTTAGCTACATAGCATGTCAAGAAGAATAGGTAAATAAATAAGTAAATGAAAACTTTTGAGAGTAAAAGTGGGAAGTTTCACAGCTACCAGGTCCAACCATAATTCAATTTTTGTCCTTTTAAAAAATTTTTCTCTTGTTTTCTTAAAAGTCCTATGATTGTTAACGTGAGTGGTTTATGTCCCCAAGATGAAAAGAGCCACTAGTAAAGAAAGTAGCCTCAGTCATAACCCTGCTCAGCTTTAATGCATACTGTTGGGAAAAGGGCTCGAAGCTGAGCCTGTCAGAACCCTCGTGCGTATGCAAAAAGCTGTGAAAAAGGAAATGTTCCCAAAGCCCTCTCTTAAGTGCTTTCTTAACATTGGAACTTTGGACGGTGTTACACTAGGTTTCTCTCCCCCTTGTTTCCATGGTTTTCTTTTTTTTATTAGCCATTATTCAGCGTGGTAATATAGTGCTGTACTTGTCTGTTTTCTGTTTATTGGCCTCACCTTTGTAATATAAAAATATCACTCCTGTTAGAGTAAAAGCAGGTGCCATGTGAAGCTTGAATAGCAATTTACCTCTCGTTTGAGAAAAGTGTCACACGGATACTCTCAGAGGAGGAAATTAATGACACCAAAGTAAGCCAATTACAAACAACTGCCTTAGAATAGGACGGAGTTCCCTAAGACAGAGTTCCGACGAATAAGCCGATTCCCACACACTGCCTCTCCCTGCCAAGCGCATGGTAGTTCATGCATAAAACTGCTCATTTTTCACCTAATCGAGTTCAGTGTGGTAGAAGTTTAATAGTAATAGTGGACTTTACTGGTGTTTACTGTTCGCTATGCAGTGAGCTTTCTTTCAGTACCCATAACAATCTATGTGGCAAGTTTGGTTTTTTACTTCCAGTTTCCTGGTTAGGAAATTTGTCCCCAGGTACTAGGAAGCAAGTTACCTAGTCACGCCACACACCCACTGCCCTTCCCCTGAATTCAGTACCATTGTCCTGTGAAGTACTATAATAAATTCAAACTGTTTAGTTCTAACTTTTGCACATAGTAGGCTCTTGGCAATTGATTGTTGACCAGTGATGAGGATACTAGTGCTGCACGGTCCAGGAACACATGCAGAGACCACTGTAAGCATGGACAGCTGGGCAATCAGACTCAGCAAACCCAAAGCCACTAATGTGCTGTGATGTGGAAGCTTTCTACCCTTGAACTTACAGTCCGGCTGAAGGTGGGAAGTCAGCCACGGTGGAGAGTGGAGCAAGGCCAAAGGGACCCTTTCCTCTTCCTGTTCTCCATCTCCTCAGAAGTCAAGCCCAAACTACCAGCAAGCTACAGAAGCCTGGGAGAGGGCTGCAGAGCTCACTGATTCTATCTCAAGCACTTGTTTGGGGTTGAGTAGATTTTAAGTGGCAGGTTTTTAAAAACCAGTTTAAAGATTATTAACAGACTGTTTAGCCCTTAAAATTGGCAAGCAAACCTTATTCTAAAATATGTGTTATTTTGTAACTGAATGATGGCAGTATTTGAAGTATGAATTTGTCTTAAGAATTTTTTACTGGACTCTTTGGTACTTAGGTACCAGATATTAACTGGACATGAGGTCTTATTCCCTGAGCACTCACATAAGCACCGCTACAGGGATCCATAAATAAAGTCTCCTCGTGTGATTTCAGAATAAAACTCTTTTTCAGTACCTCAGGGATTGGGGACTTAGTGGAGTAGGGTGCAAAAAGATTGTAAAGGAAGAGCCAATTTTTACTATTTAACACTCCAGAATTTAGCTAAAGGACAAAGCAAAAAAATTAAGTCCCGTTGTGATTGAATAAGGATTGTTCTTTCTGATGAGTTCTTTGAAATGTTTATATGCCAGGCAGCCACAGCTTTATGCAGTGGATGAATGAATGGCCTCACATTGTCCTGACCTCCAGATGTCCACCAAACAGTTTCGTATAAAAGAAGCTGCCCTGTGCAGATGAGTACCCTACTCGCTCCTAGTTCCCAGGCCAGGTGCTTGAACCTATGGCATCTCTGTCTATCTTTACCTTCCTCCTCTTGCTCCACTTTCTTCCTCCTTGTCTTCGGGCTTTCCCAAGGCGCTGCGTCACATGAGGTATGAGACATGACAACTCTCATCACTTTGTTCTCTATACTAAACCCAGCAAAAACGAGGTACATAACTGTATTTATTCTGCTACCTGACACATAGCTGTTGTGAGAGGGCACTGTTCTCTGTCTGTTGTTGCTTTGCTTCAGCTGGTCAGCATATTCACTTTATTCCTTATTATCGTCTCTAGGCTTGCTGTTTCTCTTACCATCTAATTAAATGATTCCACTTTGAATAATTACAAGTAAGTGCCCACAACATACAAGGGGCATTTCAAATAAAGAATTTGACAGTCTTTTTCAAGTAGATTTGTAGTCCGAATAAAATAGGGCAAAACACAGCTAAGAACAGGCCCAGGTGGCCTCACATGGTGCAGTGCTTCCCAGGTGAAGTCGCAGGCTGCATCCTGAGACTAAAAGCCACGCTTCTCTGGCTTGTTACTTCTGTGCTAGAGTGCTCACTAGGAAACAAACTGGAATTTTTCCTCTTGTGTATGTAGAGAGGAATAGGGAACTAACTGGAAGGGTTTCCATATGGCTCAGGTGAGAAGGTTGATTTTGATTATCTAAAAATACATTTCTGAAATGCTTGAAGCTACTGAATTGAGTGGGGGGAGCAAAGGGTTGTTTGTGATTAACATCTTTACATAGTTTCTACCATTTATGGTAAACCAAATTCTGGAAGCCAAGAGTGACTGCTACCCCTTTAGGAATGAACTCACTGGCGGGGGCGGGGTGGGGGACGCGACTCAGCTAAGAGGGAGGCACAGGGAGAAGGGGATCTGGAATCACCCAGATCCCAGCTCCTTGCTGAATGCCTTCTGCTCTGCCTCCTCCTCTCCTTGGACTGCCAGTGACTTCTGCTCAAGGATGGGCCCCGAGTCAGGTGATACTTGGAGGGATCCGAGAACCCCACAGCACTGTCAAACATGACTTTCC